TTTTTTATTTGCAGTCTCCCTTCTTCTGAATATTTAAAATTTTTTTAAAGTTTTCCATATTTGTTCAGTATCTCCAATTAATTCAGTTGTCCATTTCACAACAGATAATTCTTGTTTCATCCCTTCAATTGTTTTTTTTGAAATCTAGAATCAAAATATCCTTATTCCTTATCTTGATATGCAGCAAAACATTAAAGCTAATTGACCAATGATCATTTCACCCAGATGTTCCCCAATCTCCACCTTATCAATCATTTCTATATTAGGATGATAAATCTAAAATAGCACTGTTCCTAGCAGGTTCCCTAACCAATTGGTGAAGAAAACCATCCTGAACAATTTCTAAAGACCTACTTCCTCATAACTTGAATCTAACATTTTCCAATATATATACCTGAAATTAGAATCCCTATAATTATGACCTCATTAACAGCTAGGTTCTTTACCTCAATGTTGATTTTCTCATTAATTTTATCAGTTTCATCTTGTGGTCTGTAACAAATTCCAACTAAAAGCCTTCTCCCCTAATAACCTCTAACAGAAACCATAACAGATTTAACCTCACTGCTATTAGCTTTGTTATCTTAAACTTGAACAGGATGTAACATACATTCTATATACAAAACCAGTCCTTCCCCCTCGTTTTAGTACTCTATCCCTATTAAATAACCTATAACCCCATATTTAAAAGCAACTCCTATCATCAAAATTAAATAAACTTAACTAGGTTTCAGTTATTCCCTTTACATCAAAATCTTCAGTTCCAACTAGTGCTTTAAGGTAATCCATTATATTTTTTATACTTTTGGCATTACAGTAGTAATAGTTTAACCCACCATTAAACCTACTTCTGTAATTTGTTTCTACACTATAATTTTCTCTACATCTTATTTTTCCATCATTATTCTGGCCCTGAATACTGCCTAGTTCTAGTTTAAAGCTGCCCTCACAGTTGTATTAATAGCCCTTGCCCACAAGCCAGACCTTACCTAATGTAAACGTAAATCATCCATTCCAAAAAATTCTCTTTACCTATTGAACTGATCCCACAAATTCATCAAGCCAATCTACTTGTTCATACATTTTACTAAGCCTAAAATTATACCCTGGTGTCCTACTTATAATTTAATCCCCACAATCAAAGCTCAGTAGTAACCCCAACAGAATTATGTTATTACGGCCCTATTATTTAAATGCTTTTTTAGAATCCCTTGTATTTAAAAATTAGCTTCTCTGACCTACCCTTCCCTACATTATTGGCTCCTATTTAGGCAACAAAGCTTGCATTACTGTTTGCACCTTTTACTATATCAATTGTTCTGTCAGTTATATTCTCCACCCCTGCCCATGAATAACATAATCTAATTCTTTTCTCCATATTTACTCCACGCATTATCCTATAATATCATATAAAATTATCTTCATGTTTTTCAATCTCCATCCCCATCTATCCCTTTTATTTTTCCCTCCCCTATTCCTCATCTGCACAAGCTAAAGGCTGAAATCTGTTACTTATTAGAAACTGCTCATTACAATTAAATTCACTATTTCTAGCCAGATTAGTATTGTTTCTAACTTCCTGAAAGTCATTATCAGATGCCGTATCCTTCATATGCAAAAACTTAAGTTCCTTTTGAAATCTCCCACAATCTTCTCACAATTTACCATTCTCTTTGCTTAAGATAGCTTCCATTTTATCTTCAAGCCTGCACACTCTGTACACAGATTGCTCATCTTCACTACTAGCTTCCTTAAAAATGATTGCCAATTCCAGGATTCCAAAATAAAACTTACTCCTTGCATATATACCTTACAAATCACAAGTGCTTAATACCTACACTAATTTTAACAATTATAGCCTGGAAATATATAACACTAAATATAAATAGCCTACTGACAACATTTAAGGCTAACATTAAAGTTAAATATATTATACTGTGTCATCACAACCTTCTTACTGTATAAAGTTCATCTTTAAAATAAGAAGTGACAAATACCTAGTCTTTAGATGATATTTATGTAGTAATACAATATATTCAACCTGTTTTACAATTTACCAATAAACTAAACAGTGGCTAAATTTGTGTTGCTAGATAGTAAATTCTACTTTTATTTTATGATTTTGTTTATCAGTCACGTATTATTCCTTCTATCATTTAGTTCAACTATGAATTTTCCGTTAAATTAAAGTACTAACTTACCTTCTACCTAGAGCACACTGATTTTGAGTATATATGTGTATTAAGAAACTAACAACCTTCTGTTAGTGGCAACATACTGATATTAATGTTGTGAAAGATTATGTAGCTTTATGGTAATAGCTAGTCACTAAATAAAAAGCCTTCTTTGATCTTGAAAACAAGTTAGTTCAAGAGATACACTTAAAAAGTATTATTGTTCAAATATGTGTTCTTGATATTAAGAAGTGGTTTCATTCTGAAACATTGCGTTATTCTCTGGTGAATTAGTTTTTATTTTATTTTTATGGTTCTTATTCCTAATTCCTTTGATATTTATTGAAATGAATCACATTGAGATTTATGTCGTGCTGCTTATTAACATTTGTACCTAGTCCCGACCAAGCACAGGTCTACTAATTGTTTTCATAAGTGATAAAATTTGTATTCTAGTTGTTTGAACTATTTTTTATTTCCATAGTTACATTTAATATGCTGTTTTTGTTTGATCCTGTAGTAGCATTTTGTTTACACCATTACAGTTAAACTCACTAAACTTAATCTAATGCTTATAATACACCATCAAGCCCCAATTTAACACTTTAATCCTAAGACTATTATTTACCAATCTCATTAAATCAATTTATCTCTTTATTAATTAAGACAAATTACTAAAAATAAGAATAAATGGATGTAAGAGCTGTTAAATTTCCATTAACTCTTTATTAAAAATGTACAAGATTGCATCTCAGAACATATAAAATTTAAATGTTTCTACAGGTAACATGCAACCAGGCCTCCTCCTCCAGTATTTCACTTTTTTTTTTTAAATTTGAATGTGCAGTTTTCAAGTTCTGGCTAATTGTTTGAGAGAGATATTAAATTTCCATTTCTCCATTGGATGTTTGGATTTTACTTAATAATGTTGGTACTATAGAGCAGTATAGAAAGAACTTGGTAGCAAACATGCAAGAATATTATACTTTTATAAAAACTATGTTGAGAAAGGCCAATGAAAAACAGAAGTTGGGACATGGTAAACAAGATAGGGATCAATCTCTAAAACTGAATGATATGACAAAGGTTAAAAGCCACCTGAGATCAAGAGGCAGTATACAGTTTACTACTAGTAAATTAGCTCCATTATATATGTTAGAGCTTGTAATTACAGAAAAATTGTGCAAGATATATTTTCATTTAAAAAGTATTCCAGGAAATGTAGTCTTACCATAGTTTTTCTTGTAACTAATATATGTTACCTTACTTCAGTCATGGTATTTCTTTGGCCAATTAAGAGAAAATGGATCAAAATATTTAAGAGTTTATATTTTCATTCAGATCATCAGAGTGGTGTGGAAGCCAATAGTTTTATAATATGAAAATAGTAACTATACAGTAAACTTGTTGTAGTGGGTCTTTTAATTTGTCTGTTTTGGACTAACAGGTGTACCTAGAAACATTCTGGTTGAAACTGAAGAGCATCACTATATATATCTCTATGGTAATGTTTTATATGTGCATTATAGTGTGTTATTCAGCCTAATGACTTACCATATTGGTTGAGACATGAAATTGTGCCCCTGAGTAACTGAGATATGGAATGGAAGACACTGAACTCATCCTAATTATGTAGGACAAATTAGTAATTTATTTTATCTATACTGAGGATGGCCCATATTATTGGGTTGAGGGGGAGAGGGTGATGTAATATTAGCAATTCTGTGAGCATCAGTTTCTAGGTGTCTTAATCTGGCTTTTTAATATCCCTTTTTGATTTTTAGCAGATCAATAGCTGGTGGGTAGATACTAGAGGATCAGAGAGTTGCTTATACCCTAGAAATTATAAGCCATTTAGTCTTACTTTTAGGGCTGGAAAAATCCAAGAGTTTAATATAAGAAGCTCTAAAAATATTTCAATGAAATGTGATATTATAAATTAAAATCAGCATTGATTTACCAAAGGGAAATCTTACTTGGAGCCTGGGAGAAATCCTGGGTCCTGGTGCTTTCCCTAATTCTGGGAACCTCATCCTCTCCTTACCCCCCCCCCCTTTTCCCTCAATCATATACATATATAAGACTCCTCAAAATGCAACATCAGCATATAAATACTACTTTTTTTGAGATGGAGAGAAGAAGGACTTTTTGGTATGGTATATATGGAAAATATTTGCTTGAGCCCAGGCCCCAGTGATTTACACCAGGTGTACCCCCCTCTCCCAGGTCCTGATCTTACCTTATTTAGTTACTAATCTATTAATTGTATTAATAATAATCTGTTATCATGGACATTACTTGTTTAGCTTAGTTATTTGAATGAGGGAAAAGGTGTGGATTTAGTGTACTTAAAAGTTTCAAAAAGCTTTTGGTAAGGTACCACATAAAAGAATAGCCAAAAAATATCAAAAATACAGGTTGGGGAAAGAATAAACTTTTATAAAGTGTTAAGAACTGGTTTCCATTACTCATTTTACTGAAGAAGTGAAACTACCGAGTCAACTGAAAATATGTCTGACCTTTCCAAATAAAACCTCTTTTATGTAATTTACTTCAAGAAAACATGGACTTAAAATGTTAGTACTTGTTTTTTTATTTTTTTTGCAATGTGCTGCAATTGTCACAGTATACTTCCAACTCTGTTTCACGCTCCATCTCATTCTCACCCTCAAGCTAAGCCTAAAATAATTCTAAGCACGATCTAAGCCAGCTTTAGTTATGCTCACAGTAACACTTACTACTAGTATTACTATTAGTAACACTTATCAATCTTTAAACTGGGATAACATTAATAACACAGGATAACTGTACAAATAATGTGTCTACCTTGCAAAAACCTACCAATTGGTACAAAGCTTCATTAACAATTCTAATTACAATTAACAAAAACTGCCCAAATTAACAGTTTTAACATACAAGTTTCGATATTACACAAAACGAAAAGCTTCTTTTACCCTATCAAATATGGACTCTCCCACTTTACATTATTGGATCTGGGGCCATTGAAGCTGCAATCAATTGCAAGGCCATTTAGTTCACGTGACCAGTGATGGAAGGTTTTAAACACAATCCTATTCTCTTCAAAAATATATATTATGGCAAGTAAAATGTTTCCTTCCTCTATTAATGCAACACCTAGGCAATTCATAAAATCAAACACAGAAATATTAATTTTTACTTTTATTCAAAAATACAATAAGAGCAACTTTCACTGTGGGCAAGTTTTGATTTTCATATTTACAACCTTTCAACTCATAGTATCGAGTCAACATCAGGTAAGAGTAACATTCTAAATGTTGAATTAATTATTCCGTTTAGTAGGTTCCTCACTAAACATTAATTCTGATTTTATTTAAAGTTTTTAACATATATAAATGCTAGTTCAAAAGCGTAATATGAGATTTCTTTACTCTTGTCCATTTATGAAGAAAGAAAATGGGATACTCAAAAATCAATATGGCCCAAAATGTGGTTGTGAAAATTGAAACTTAGAGCTTATCAAAATTCCAATTTCCATGTTACATGTTCATTATGTACTTAATATTATTTTATTTTTCATTTGAAAAGTACTGAACAGAAATATATTGTAACACGGTCTCTACTGCCTGACGAAGTTCATCTGACTGAAACATTGCAAAAACTCAAAATATAAAAAGTTTTCATTTAGACTTGTCAATTTATTCTTTATTATCTTTAATCCGATAAGTATATCAATTACATCAAACAACTTGTAACAACACCAGCACATTTTTTCGTAAGTATAATAGTTTAATTCCTAATCATATTCATGTCCTATTTGTAGGTGCTACTGAAAATAATTTTCTAGTTCATAAAATGTTCCCAGATGGGACAGTGGTGAATCTATGGACTTACAACGCCAAGATCTTGGGTTCGATTCCCCGCGCACAGCAGATAGCCCATTGCGGCTTTGTTCTAAAACACACACACATATACATAAAATGTAAGTAACAGCGGACCATTTGACCCTTCAAGGCTGCCCTTGAATACCTACTTATGATAAAAGTAAAAACTCAACTACACCATTTAGTTTTCAGATGTCTATAGGTGAGTTAGCTAAAAGTTTATGGACTTACAACGCTAAAATCCATGGTTCGATTCCCCGCGGTGGACACAGCAAAGAGCTCAATGTGGCTTTGCTCAAAAACAAACAATAACAACAAATGTATTCTAGGAAATTCAGTTCTGCTCATAATATCATGTACCAGCTTCAACCACTACTGACGTCAATGACATTCCATCAATCACTTTTTAGAAAAATAAATCTGATTTAGCTAGAGCCTAGCCGGGCTTTTTCTGAGCTTAAACTTGTACTCTCGAGTCTCGACTTATTTTCTTCAGAATACACTTCATTATATCGCAGATAAATTAGAAGTCTTTATTTTAGCGATACCCTGAATATTTTTTTAAACTTCAAGAATATAGCCTCTTCACTTTCTTTGCCAAAGAGAAAATAAGATAGAATTTTAATTTCCATAATCATATTGTTATCTGCTTGCTTGATAATTTCCGGTAAAAATTCTTTCCGAGTGACTTAGCGATACAAGTCTGTTCTTGATTAAAACTAGTTTATTCTTTCTCGTTACAAACTTTGTAATACACTTAATTTCTACAGTCACTTTAACTTAACACACGCTACAATTCACTACGATTCACACACTTTAGTTACGGTCACTACCGCTCGCTTGACTCAATTATCTGTCTCTATATCTGTCTATCTGCAATTATATCTCTGCTTTATTTGACGGGCTTATATACTAAAATAGAGGGCGCCTAGAAAAAACTAGAGTTGCCAGGAAAAGTCATGATCCTTCTAGAAAGTTATGATGTATTACCAGCGTCACGTGATGAGTTTCTAGAAGGATCGGGGAACATCACGAATAATCCAGTATTTGCTAGACGTCCTCTATTCCTGTATATAAGCGCGCCAGATAAAGCGAGACAATTAATCGGAATTGGAATCGCAGATACAGAGATTGAAGATACAGACACGGATAGTTGAGTCAAGCGGGTGGTAGGCACCGTAAGTAAAGCGCGTGAATCATTGTGAATTATAGCATTTGTTTAAGTTAAATTGACTGTGGAAATTAAGTGTATTACAAAGTTTGTAACGAGAAAGAATAAACTAGTTTTATTTAAGAAAGGACTTGTATCGCTGAAGTTTCTCGGAAAGAATTTATACGGAAAATTAACAAACGAACAGAGACGTAACAACCCTATAATTTTGCTCTCTAAACCAACCGTCATTAATACCAATGATAAAAAACTAAAAACGGCCCACGTTTACTCTTAGGTGAAGCTGTAGTACAAATTTCAGACCGATAGCTCACGTGACTTTTTGCGTAAGCGTGCGTAAACATTTTAGTCAGATTTAAGCGATTTTTGTTGAATAACTTTGCAAATATGGCTAAAATTTAGACCAAACTTGACCCCTAATTGTAGGTTG